CCCTAAACCCTAAACCCTAAAGATAAAGAGACCACCAGCCTGTTTAGCTTACGGGCCTTCCATCTCGAGAGCCCCAGGTGATGCCCGAGCACCGCGGAGAACCGGATTCCTGTCAGGCCTTGATATTGCTTCAAGGGTTCGGGTTTGGGGTTTAGGGTTTAGGGGTTTAGGGTTTCGGGCTTAGGGTTTCGGGTTTCGGGTTTTAGGGTTTAGGGTTTCGGGTTTCGGGGTTTAGGTTTCAGGGTCTAGGGTTCAGGCGGTGTACTGTATGGGTCGTATTATGGGGAACCATGAGGACAAAACTGTTCCTATGGTTCAGGCCCTAAAGAGCGACGAGGACGAAGAGGAGGACGACTCCTTTGACTCAGTGGAACCTCGCAGGATGTTTGTTGCAGGGTTCTGGGTTTGGGATTTTTTGCCTTTGGATGCTGAGTTGTGGCAACATGTAGTGGCAGAGTCTGTGGGATGCAGAGTCGAGTCGAGTCTGCCAAGACTGTCGGACAGGGCATGTTCAAAACGACGCGACAACGCGAATGTTGGTGGTCCCGCAGTTTTCGGACCCCAAACCCTAAACTCGAAACCCTAAGCCGCGTTTTTGGTGACCTAAGGATTTGTTCCTTCTGCGGAAAAGGAAGCGCGCGCTTCTCGCCAAGTCTCCCGCTCATCCCACGATGGAGGCACTGGCAGGAGAGCAAGGAGACATGGAGCAGAAGAAGCAACTCAAAAAGTTCCTCGGTTCGGGGGTCAGGATTAGGGTTTGGGGTTCAGGTTTAAGGTTTAGGGTTCAGGACTAGGGTTTAGGGTTCAGGATTAGGGTTTAGGATTCAGGATTAGGGTTTAGGGTTTCTGCGCAAAACACTTGTTAAGTAGCGCTGAGATCCTTATTCCGAGGCAGATCATGGAGTGGGTTGAGACGAAACAGTTGCCAGATACCAGGCCGCTCTTGAACAAACCCTTTCTTGGTTTGATATTCGTCTAGTGTAGTCTTGCGGCTGAGCAATAATTGTTCGAGTTTACAGAATAAATATGAAAGTATGTGTATATATACATACATATATATATATATATAACATATAATATATATATATATATATACACAGACACACTCTATTTCTTAAAAAGGGCCTCGAAGAACAGCCAAGGACACGCTCGACCAGATCTCACAGTACGGCGATGCCGCTTTCGAGAGCCTGGGCCGAGAGCTTTTGAAGCACCCGGAGCTCGCCCGGCCAGTGGCGCTTTAGCAGAAGAGTGGGGCAACCTTGAAGCTTCTTCTTGCTTTTAAAACAAATAGTAGGGTTTAGGGTTTAGGGTTTAGGGGTTTAGGGTTTGGGGTTTGGGGTTTAGGGTTTAGGGTTTAGGGTTTAGGGTTTAGGGGTTTAGGGTTTAGGGGTAACAACAACAACACCTACAGCAACAGCAACAACAACAATAACAGTGATAGTGATACTAAGCATAAGGAAGTCTGAGGAGAATCAAAATCACAATGGTTCAGGGTTTCAGGATTTGTGCCAAGAGGTGAACGATCCCTTAAGGCAACCGGAGAAGTAAGGCATTGGCACTTGGCCACGAGGACTCCGAAACAGAGTCGCCGCGTCGCCTGGAGGAACCCGTTCCCTCTCATAACGATTCATCCCTAAACCCAAAACCCTAAAACCCTAAACCTTAAACCTTAAACCCTAAACCAGGAGCCACTTCCCTCTCATGACGAGTCATCCCTAAACCCTAAACCCTAAACCCTAAACCAGGAACCACTTGCCTCTCGTGACGAGTCATCCCTAAACCCTAAACCCGAAACCCCAAACCAGGAGCCACTTCCCTCTCATGACGACTCATCCCTAAACCCTAAACCCTAAAACCTAAACCAGGAGCCACTTCCCTCTCATGACGACTCATCCCTAAACCCTAAACCCTAAACCAGGAACCACTTTCCCTAAACCCTAAACCCGAAACCCTAAACCAGGAGCCACTTCCCTCTCATGACGACTCATCCCTAAACCCGAAACCCTAAACCAGGAGCCACTTCCCTCTCATGACGACTCATCCCTAAACCCTAAACCCTAAACCAGGAGCCACTTTCCCTAAACCCTAAACCCGAAACCCTAAACCAGGAGCCAAATCCCTCTCATGACGACTCATCCCTAAACCCTAAACCAGGAGCCACTTTCCCTCAAAACTAAACCCGAAACCCGAAACCAGGAGCCACTTCCCTCTCATGACGACTCATCCCCAAACCCTAAACCCTAAACCAGGGGCCACTTTACCTAAACCCGAAACCCTAAACCAGGAGCCACTTCCCTCTCATGACGACTCAACCCTAAACCCTAAACCCTAAACCAGGAGCCACTTTCCCTAAACCCTAAACCCGAAACCCTAAACCAGGAGCCACTTCCCTCTCATGACGACTCATCCCTAAACCCTAAACCCTAAACCAGGAGTCACTTTCCCTAAACCCTAAACCCGAAACCCTAAACCAGGAGCCACTTCCCTCTCATGACGACTCATCCCTAAACCCTAAACCCTAAACCAGGAGCCACTTTCCCTAAACCCGAAACCCTAAACCAGGAGCCACTTCCCTCTCATGACTTATCCCTAAACCCTAAACCCTAAACCCTAAACCAGGAACCACTTTCCCTAAACCCTAAACCCGAAACCCTAAACCAGGAACCCTAAACCCTAAACCAGGAGCCACTTACCTCTCATGACGACTCATCCACATCGTCTCAGCCCTTGGTCGAAGTCGTTGACGACGAGCTCCACGAGGAACTTAAAAACCCTAAACCCTAAACCCTCCTAAACCCTAAACCCAAAACCCTAAACCCTAAACCCTAAGCCCTAAACCCTAAACCCTAAACCCTAAACCCTAAACCCTCGCCCGCAGAGGCTGAGGACTCAGCTACCTCCCTTCGGATGCTGGGTCCTGCTTGTGGAGTTTTTGGGGTTAGGGTGTAGGAGTTTAGGGTTTAGGGTCTAGGGTTCAGGGTTTAGGGTGTAGGGTTTAGGGTTTAGGGAAGTGTAAGCTGGGTTTCTATACTTAGGAAAGCAGAGTCTTCATTGAGTGTCCCTTTTCTGGTATCTGATGCTAATGGCCTGAAGCAAACCCAGGATATGGGACCGGAATTTTCAGGCAAGCCTCGTCCAGTTCCGCGACCAGAGCCGCTTCGCTCTTTGGAACCATACGCAGGTGCAGGTGCCACTTTTCAGCGAGGTGCTGAACGTCGTGGTGAAATCCATGGCCAAGGTGACGGCCGAGATCCTTCAACAGGGACCAAGTGAAAGCTCAGAGAAGCATGCTGTGCTCATGCAGGATGCAGGGAGTGAAGCAAGCGAGATGCAGAGTCACGCAAGAGTCATGGCCAGCAAGCTCGAGGCAGAGTGCAACCGGATGATGCACTATGAGCCTAGGAAGCCCATCGGCAACTGCTTTCAATTGCTTAGCGTAGAGGCCTTCATGACACATGATCATCTATACTATTTTGGGGTTCCCTCTTCTAATGATTCAGGCTCCTATATTCACTTTTTTTCATGTGTTTAGTGCTGTCAGGCCCCAACGTCTAGGCTGTAAGCCCCCCTGAACCCTAAGCCTCAAACCCTGCCTAGGAACTACTGGCTTTCGCTTTGACAAAGCACGAGAAACAACGACTTTTTGAGTTGAGCACTGGAATGGTGCAAAGTCTGTACCGACAAGGACACGGGTTTAGGGATTCAGGGTTTAGGGTTTAGGGTTCAGGGGTTTAGGGTTTAGGGGTTTAGCGGTTTGAAGGTTTAGGTTTAAACAAAATGGGTAGTTCTCTAAATTAGGGTCCCTTCTGGGGTCCCCAAGATAGTACGGCACTCATATAAAAAGGACCCTAGAAGGGACCCTAATTTAGAGAACTGCCCAAATTGTGGAAATCTAGACGCCCCCCTAAACCCTAAACCCTAAACCCTAAACCCTAAACCCTAAACCCTAAACCCTAAACCCTAAACCCTAAACCCAATCTAAAGGCCCCCGTATCAGTGCCCATCCTGTAGGGCATCTGGCGCGCCTGGCGCAGATCGCATCGGAGGCTTCCGGGGCGGTGAGACAGGCGCGCGAAGTTTAGGATTTTAGGGTTCAGGGTTTAGGGTTTAGGGTTTAGGGGTGTGGTTTTAGGGTTTAGGGTTTAGGTTTAGGGTTTGGGGCTTAGGGTTTAGGGTTTAGGGTCTAGGGGTATACAGCCTGGGGACGGGCAGGATTTATCCGAGGTCTAGGATTGAAGGCAGTTTCTGCGG